ACAAACAAACAGATCTATTTAGTGATTTTGGGACTTAGAAAAGAAGCGCTTGAAGTGGAGAACTTATAAACCCAAATTATATTATGGTAAGAGATTGGTGAGAAATCGACACTTTTTCTTATTAGGATATTAATATCTTAACTTCAATTCTGACCATCCATATTTTTTTCACGGTCCTATATTTATTATTGTTGTTGGTGAATGATTTGATATAGTATCTTTCTAAACGAAATCCCCGATAGTATTATACTCTCAATAACAAATTGAATAATACATGTTCGTTATATACCACAGCTTATACTACTGCATTTGTCAGTAGTTAGGATACCACCAGTTTCATGTAGATCACCGACACTATTGGTTGAAATACAACCTTAAACTCTTACTGATTCCCTTTTTTACTGTATATATTGTCATTGATTGTTGCCAACCAATTACCTGGATTCATCTGTAAAGAGCACATGTCTCTAACGTTTCTCATTTCACTGTCTATGGTCCGATGTCCATTTCGATGTCCATTTCGATCTTTTGATTTGGTTATCTTTTCTCACCAGAAGTTTCCAAGAAGCCACTCGTCCATTGACAGTAAGTGATAATGTGTCTCGTGCTGTTCTCGAAGAAACAATCACGCCTGTATTTACAGCAAGGTCATTGGTTAGATCTGTTTTTGATCGTCATATTTCTTGTAAAGAACATATCCTGAAATACTTAACATTATTTTTGGAAAGTTTCATATTTCTACCCGGCCACTTTTATTATCAACGGTGCCAGTTTTATATACCCTCTCCAGCGTATTGAATATAGCTCCTTCTGAAACATGTCGTCTTGGTGCAATTTTTCACATGGAATATCGTGAACCATCCAAAACTGATTTTTACACCATTTTCATGTGGTATGTCAGTTCTGAAAGTTACGACTGAATCAACACTACTACTCCTGGGCATAGTATGACTACCTGCATTTTTATAGGTATTTTTTCTGGTTTGTCATTTTCCGATTTATTGGATGACTATCACCACGTGACTGTACTCTTGTTTAATTTATCTTATACCTTTTGTCCTCACTGTTGTTACAATTATTTCCAGTATTGTGTATACATATAGAAACTTTAAAAAACCCCTTATTGTAAGTTACAACGTATGTATCTCCAGTAAAGATTAGCACAATAAGGACTCTTTTCTTTCTTTTTAAAATAAAAAGACAATCCGATCTTAGTAAAACCCCATCTTCGTGGTTTCATATGAGGAAAAGTAAATTAAATTACAAAGTAGTTTATCTTGTTAAGTACGTGTGAAAAAAAAATGCTTATAGAAAAAATATCAAGACATAAACATTTTACATTTACAAAAGGTTCACTATAGCGAACCTAGTGATGAAGAATGAAACGATTACATGCACAATTATGCATGTCGGTTATATGAGTTTATGTACCACAAAGATTATTCATGATCGTTTCTGCACCAATTGTCCAACACAGCCAAAGAAACGCAGTTTTTTTGTGTTCCGTTGAGTGTTAATTTCATCTACACGTAGTGTTTTCCTATCAGTCTTGATCCAATGACACTTTCATCATGAAATTGTTTGTGGATAACATGCAATGAAGAAGTAAACTATAAACTTAGATACTTATATCAACAAGTAATATAAAACAGCAGTATGTGATATTCGATAAAAATTTTCGGCTCGTTCTTACGTTTATTGAGCTGATAATCCAAACTGAAAGAAGAGACCTGAAGAAAGAACAAAATTTTCATGATAATGAAGGAAAGTTTGTTGTGCTTTTCTTAAGCACTTAATATCTAATGATTGTCATTAGATCTCATTCAACAGCTGGGCGTATTCAAATTTAGTGTGTACTTAATGTTTTTAATACATAATCTCACTAAAGTTGAATAAAGAGTGAAAGTTGTACAAGAATACTACGCCCAATATATAAACTTACAAGCTCCCCCCCAGTGACACAGTGGTATGTCTGCGGACTTACAACGCTAAAAACCGGGTTTCGATACCCGTGGTGGGCAGAGCACAGATAGCCCACTGTGTAGATTTACGTTTA